CGTCGGCTCCTACTCCGGGCCGCCCTTCAACTCCACCCGGGACTTCCTTTTCCGCAGCCGCGGCTTCGGGGACTCGGCGCCCGGCGGCGGGCAGCACGGGCTGTTCGGGCCGGGGGCCGGCGGCCTGCACCACGCGCACTCGGACGCGCAGGGCCACCTCCTCTTCCCCGGGCTCCCGGAGCAGCACGGGCCGCACGGCTCCCAGAATGTGCTCAACGGGCAGATGCGCCTCGGGCTGCCGGGCGAGGTGTTCGGGCGCTCGGAGCAGTACCGCCAGGTGGCCAGCCCGCGAACCGACCCCTACTCGGCCGCGCAGCTGCACAACCAGTACGGCCCCATGAATATGAACATGGGCATGAACATGGCAGCCGCCGCGGCCCACCACCACCACCACCACCACCACCCCGGTGCCTTCTTCCGCTACATGCGGCAGCAGTGTATCAAACAGGAGCTCATCTGCAAGTGGATCGACCCGGAGCAGCTGAGCAACCCCAAGAAGAGCTGCAACAAAACTTTCAGTACCATGCACGAGCTGGTGACCCACGTCTCGGTGGAGCACGTCGGCGGCCCGGAGCAGAGCAACCACGTCTGCTTCTGGGAGGAGTGCCCGCGCGAGGGCAAGCCCTTCAAGGCCAAATACAAACTGGTCAACCACATCCGCGTGCACACCGGCGAGAAGCCCTTCCCCTGCCCCTTCCCGGGCTGCGGCAAGGTCTTCGCGCGCTCCGAGAACCTCAAGATCCACAAAAGGACCCACACAGGTAACCGCGGAGAGAGCCGGGGCGCGGGGGGGAGCGGCGACGGTCGGGAGAACGCGCCGACCGCCGGGCCCTGCCCGGGGCAGAGGAGGAGTTTCAGAGCGCGCCAGTGAGCCAGCGGCTTGTTTTTGTTGGAGAATGAGCGGCTATCACTGGGTCGGGTTTTTTCCATGTGCGGAAAAGCAAAGTTTTAAACGACCGGGGGCATCGTCAAGTGCATGGTCTGGGTGGGATGCGACGGCTCTTTGCTCAACCCCGCGCGCTAATTTCCGTTTGTAGTAGGGTGCACAGAGTAAAGCTGCCCTCCCGCTCGGTGCCCGGGAATTGAGCCTAGAGAAGGTTTTGCCAGCTTGCCTGACTGCTTTTCGGCCCTGGATGTGTTTCTGTGGCTGCGAGGCTTGTGTGTTTTCCTCCTCCTCTTACTGGGGATCCAAACGGCCTTCCCGGGACTGTTTCCCATTAAATGAATCTGGGGGTGTGAGGTAAAGCATTTCTCGGTTTTTAAAAGTGCTTTCAAAGCACGTCTCGGGGTAGGTCGCGGGGCTTTCCAGGGGGTTCGCCGCAATTCGGGAAACTCGCTAATGGGCACCAGAGTTTGCGATTCCAAACTTGGACCAGCAGCCGGGTCAGCGAGGGCTGGGGACAGCGCGGCCCCGCGGGGCAGTCGCGTGAGGAGAGAGAGCCTGGAGAGGAGGAGTCTCTCGGTGCGTCGATGGTGCCTCTCTGACCAGGTCCCAGCCAAAATCGTGCCAGACGATTTCCTAAGAGAAAGCCAAATGTTTTAGCAACTTCGCCCGTCAATATTTACTCCGTCGTGGGGATGCGCCAGCGGCCTATTGTTCTCTTCCGGGATGGGAGGGAGCCGAGGTGCCAGACAAGCTTTTAACAAGGTTTAAAATTTGAGAAATTTATTTGCATGAAACGCTCGCTCTCGAGGCTTGCGTCTGAGCGGATGTCTTTAAAAAAACAATTTAGGTGCTAATGGAATTTAACGTTAAATGGTTCCTTTTCCAAGTGGAACCATGTTTGAGTTCTCACACCTCTAAATGACTCCAAGCATTTGGAATTCTGGCAGCAGGATGCAGGAGCCGGTGGAAAATTAAACAGGGAGACGCTGAAAGCCGGTGCTGACACCCGGCCCCGGCCTCTGCCATGCCAGCGCGGCGCGCCTTATCGCCCGATGCCTTTTCTTACCTTCCTCTTCCGCCAGCCTACCTTTTTTTTAAAAGGCTGGAAATGAGGCTAAAATTAGAGTTAATTCGGTTTGCAGGATCTTGGATGAAAAAAGGCCTGGCTCGGTTGCTATCGGCAGCCCAGACAACACACAGCAGCTCCAAATGTAATTGCCTACTGGCCCCAGAAAGAAAACCGTCAGCAGCCTGTGTGATTTTGATAATGCCCCAAATATTTTGTCATAACAACAGCTTCTCCGTGGTGAGACCAACTTGTTAGAAGCTGCGAGTCCAAGAAGCAGTGTAGAAAGACAGGCAGGGCCCAGGGTGCTACCCCAAGCTCCTCATCTGCCCGGGCAGGTCGATGTCAGAGGGGAGGGCAAGTGCACCAGTGACCTGTGGCCCGGGGGCGCCAGGCGTCTGCGGAGGGACGGGACCCACTGCAGCCACCTAGGCAGTGCGGCCACTCTCGCCCCCAGGCCCTGCCCCCTGGCAGCGGGCTGGGGCCGGGGCTGGGAGCGTCCCCGGGGTCCACAGCCAGGGCCTGTGTCTGCCGCCCGTAGGGGAGAAGCCGTTCCAGTGCGAGTTTGAGGGCTGCGACCGGCGCTTCGCCAACAGCAGTGACAGGAAGAAGCACATGCACGTCCACACCTCCGATAAGCCCTATCTGTGCAAGATGTGCGACAAGTCCTACACACACCCCAGCTCGCTGCGGAAACACATGAAGGTACCACCCGGGAGGAGGGGAGGGCGCCGGCTCGCCACCGGCCCGAGCCATGTCGCCGGCCCGGGAAGCGAGGGTGTCCGGTCCCGGTCCCGGGTGCCGGCTAGGCGTGGGCGTGGGGGCGGGGGGGTCTGGGGCTGCGCCCCAGGGGCTCGGCCCCACAGCAGCTGCACTCACACCCAGTCCCCTCTGGTCTCCCCTCCCGGCTTTTGTCTTGCAGGTCCATGAGTCCTCCCCGCAGGGCTCCGAGTCCTCCCCGGCTGCCAGCTCTGGCTACGAGTCGTCCACGCCCCCGGGGCTGGTGTCCCCCAGCGCGGAGCCCCCGAGCAGCTCTAACCTCTCCCCGGCGGCGGCGGCGGCTGCGGCGGCGGCAGC